CAATGAATTAATATGCATGAGGTTGGCTGAACTTGGTAAGCATTCAATTTGTATGACTAGGTATGTTTATTTTCAGCGGTTACAATTGGGTTACTCTTATGAAGCACTTTGCCTTTTCACAAAGGCCCCAGCCTTGTCTTTGGGTTTCTGGAGTGCACAAGGGTTGTCTTATCTCTACAGGGAGTGGCTCCCCAGCCACATACCTTCCCAAGGCCCTGTGAACTCTGTATACGCTCACAGCTTTAAAAAACCAGGGCTAGCACAGCCGGATCTCTAACACTCTACATCAGAAATGATTTCTGAGTTAGAGCCATAATACTGATGACAGCCACATACAACGCGCGGGGCCTTGTGCAAAACATTCTCTGTCTCGTTGACATCCAAGGTCAGCCTAGGAGGGAGGTCCTGTTATAGCCCCACTTACCAAATGAGGAAGTGGAGGCACCACAGGGCCCATTTTACAGATGAAGAAGCTGAGGCACACAGAGGTTAAATAATCTGACCAGGGTTGCACAGGTAGGGAGGGTGGGGCCAGGTTCACACCCAGGCCCCTATGCTACCGTTCCTTGTAGGTAAGGACAAACAGAGGGCCTCCCATGAACTATGGCTTTGCTAATCCACTTGCAAATAAAAAACAAATCCAGATTTAGTAAGGAGATACTTTGTTCAAAAACATTATTGCAAGAGCCAGGAGGACTATTGCAGTAAGGGGAACACTGACCACAGGTGTGCAGATAGCTCAAGAGTTAGGCAAAAGAGAATTTTACTTTTACAGCAGGGAGCAAGCAAGTCTAGGAAGAATCAGATGAGAGGAACTGGGCTGGGCCAGAAGTGGTGTAATTGGACTGGAGAGGAGAGAATGCCTCTCCCTGAGGCCAGCCTGTTTTCAGGAGGGGCTGTCTGCTGGCTCGGGCTGAGGATGGGCAGGACTGGGGGAAGAGACTAACTATACTCAAGTCTGGTTAACAAGCGTCTTGTTCCAATGACTCATCGGGATAAGCAGTTCAGCTAATCATTTGTGAAGCAAAGAATGGGAATTTGGAGGGCCTGGGTCTGGCTTTGTCCTAGGTAAACAAGGGGGGCATCCGTGAGTTCTATCAATGTCATACAGGGAAGGCAACTTGCTTGCAGTAAGCTGTTTACCAAAACAGGCAGAGTAGAGGTATTTCTTAACGTTTGCTGTTTTCCAGTATCACAGGCTCACTAAACTTCAATATCACTGCTCAATTTGTGGCTAGCATCTTCTATATGCCAGGCTCTTCCTAGGAACTTTCTGAAGAAAGTCAGATTCCGTATTCACGAAGCTGGTCAAAGCCATGACCTTTGAAAATGTCTGCAAGATCATTGTCTACTCAGAGAAAATGGGATTGGGATCTAAGCGTCTCTTCCTTCTTTCATTTAGCATGTTTTCCACGTTCATTCGTGTTGTAACGTGTATTGGAACTTCATGCCTTCTATTGCTGAATCCTATTTCATTGTGTGGATAGACCACATTTTGCTTATTGATTCACCAGTTGATGGACCTTTAGGTGGGAACCTTTTCTCACCTTCCTTCCTAGATGTGGCTGAGCGCTTATTTGCTGCATGGAGCCGAGGGCCATAGCCTTCATCTCTGCACCATAGAACGATTGTCTCCATGCAGGGGGAACATCCTGGTTGCCATCCTGGTATGACACAAACCTATCAGGGGAACTGGGAGCCTTAAAATCCATGGCCCCAGTATGTCCAGCTGTGACAGCCAAGGAGCCTAGGGTGTGGTGCCTCACGTGGGAGGGGCCCTCCATGAGCACCTGGCCTGACCCAACTGAGTATGTATAACCTGGCTCCAATCTGGTTCTAAGATAGTTATTTTCAGGTTAATTAATAACCTTCCTTGCTCATCCATAAGAGGATCATTCTGGGTTTGGCTTCCCCGTACCTCCTTTTTCTGCCTACACCAAGGAGAAGGTGGATGGTCCAGGATGACGAAGAGTGATGGACTTGGATTTAGGCTCTGGCAAAAGGTCCAGGTCCATCCCTACTATCCCTATGATCTTGGCCTCTCTTGTTTTCAGTTTCCTCATCTGTAAAATGGGAATGGTAATCTCAACTGTAGACATTTGGAAAATAATTTTACAGAACAGATTTGGCCACCGGTGACATGTGGGGGGTTCCAGGGAGAGGTCGCACACATTGTACCCACTATTTGGTGAACTTGCTACTGTCCAGGATCTGGCCTTACCACTGTAGACCCAGAAGTTGGATTTGTCCAGTGGCAAGTCCATTTCTACAGGGAAAATCCACATTTGCTGGGCTCACAGAACTGTTATTATTATAGATTATTATATGTTAGGACCAGAATTCTAATGTGTTAATTTACACCAAGGCAGAGATCTGTCACATGGCCCAGATACTTGTGTCTGCCTCAGTGGGTATCATTTCCTCCTCTGGCCAGGCCCAGTCAGGAAACCAGGCATATGCCAGGGGCTGTTTCCTGGGCACAGATGCACATGGACATATAGGAAAGAAGGAGATGGAGCAAGAGTTGAATGCAATCAATGATGGTATCAGATGCCTTCACTTCATAACAGGGATGTCAGAGGGACGCCAGAGCCCACATCTTTTGCTAAGGCCACTGCTCTCTCTCAGGCAGCGTTTGCAGACACCAGCCACGTTGGCCTTTCTTTGCATCTTTCTCTACACTTACAGGGCTGGTGAATCTCCATTCTAATTGGCATGACCTTTCAAAGAAGAGAAATTACACAAGAAAAATAAGTCCTTTCTTGTAGCAAAAGTGGAAAACATTAGAAGATAAGGTCCCCTCCATTCTGCCTCTCCTGAAAGTAACTGCTATGCCTGTTTTGGGGTCTCTTCTTTCAAATCTTTCTTTTACATTTCCAATCACGGGTAGGTGTAGAATCAGATCCCTCCCCTTTTTTTGGAGTGTAAGTTGGATTCTATGTAATAAGTGCTATACTGTAACTTATTTTATTTCACTTAAAGTCTCTTGGAGCAATATCCATGTCAATTTATATAGCTCTCCCCGTCTTTTAAAATTGCTTGTCATATTCCATCATATGTACCATAATTTATGTAACCATTCTCGGATTCATGGACATTTAGGTTAATTCCTTCTTTTACTCTTATATACAGTGCTGTAAAGAACATCATTTATGTATTTCTGAAAACGGTCATGTGCCACATAATGACGTTTTGGTCAATGACAGACTGCATATCTGATGGTGGTCCCATAGAATTGGGACCATATAGCCTAGGTGTGTAGCAGGCTATACCATCTAGGTTGGTGGAAGTACGCTCTATGATGTTCGCATGATGGTGAAATCACCTAATGACCCATTTCTCAGAGTGTATCCCCATCGTTGAGTGATGCATGACTGCATATGTGAGTTTTTTCTCTAGGACAGATACTGAGAATTTTGGGTCAAAGGATATGCACATTTAAAATGGATGCAGGTTTTAGTGCTTCACATTTATCAGCAGTGTATGTGAATGCCTGTTTCTCTGTCCTTTTGCCTTCTGATGGTGATCATCCTCTCTTTGGGGTATTAAAAAAACAAAATTCAACTGAGTAAATTTGAAGATCTAACTGACTTTATTTAATGATTCCTGAATCAGGCAGCACCCCGTCTTAGCAGATAGAAAGGAGCTCCAAAGACCTGCAGAAAAGAAAGGGCTGTTATAGGCAGAAAGGGTGTGGAAAAAGGAAGTTTATTAGCAAAGAGTGGATTGTTTCAGGAAAGGTCACCCTCCTATGGGGGTGGAAAGGACCTACGGGCAGATTACCTCCTAGTGCTGACGGGGTAATTCCAGAGCGACTCGTTAAATGCTGCATTCCTGAGAGACACTGAAACTGCAATTAGGGTTGATATTAGGTCTTGGTTTGCTGATGTGGGGCTTAGCACAAGCGACTCCATTTTGGGCCTGTCATTTCTTTTTTTTTAATAGGAGACAGTAACACTTCTGGTCAGATTCTTGGCAAATCTGGTTAGCTTGGAAGTCAGACATCTTTTCTGATTGCTTACATATTGATCCTTGAGCTGATTAACACTGTGCTCTCCGATTTCCTGTATTTTCTGATTTTTAGGGGGATGCCTGACTATAGCCCCCAACTGCTGCCAAGAGAGATCCCTTAAGATTTACAGGAGAGATCACATGACATAGCCAATGTGAAAATGATTTCTCATCTTTAGAGCTGTAGAGATGTGTTAACTGCTACACACTTATTCTGGTATGGCTCAGAGGGCGATTTTATGTTCATGTTGTCCTCATCAGAATTTCAGATATTATCTTTTGTACTTGTGGGGGTAAAACAATTTTTCCAGGGTCCATAATATTCTCAAGAATGGGTTGTGTAAACTCCCATCTCAAATTCTGAGAGGCCTGACACATTTTACATATTATATTATCCTCTATTTTCACAAAGCATTACACTTAGGGCTTTCTATTTGGTTTTGTTGCAGGTTTCTTTCTAGGGTTGATGTCTATTCAACGGTTTGGGAGACGGCCATGGCTAGGGAAAAAGTTTTGAGGAGGTGAGAAGTGCAGGTGGCTATGAGCCTTCATCTTTCATGGTCCAGAAGGATCTGGCTCCTGGGGGCAGCCTCTGTTATCACCCTGTGTCTGCTTTGAAGCGGGACATTTTGTTACATCTCTAAAAAGCAAAAGCAACTCCAAAGTATTAGTTTGTAATGAATATTTTATGGAGTGAAGAAGGTTACAGCAAATACAGCAGAGATTAATAAAAAAATTTCCATTAGATGTCTTAGTTTGCCCTCCTAAGTTCTTTGGCCTCCAGCCACTCCTGGACCATCCCCCCATCACAGTTTCTCCTTCCACTTATGCCCCCACCCCAAATTCTACCTCACTTCCCTGTCTGTTTTTTTAATGCAGAGAAAGTTATCTGTTTTGGTTTCTCTGCCCATTTTCCCACTTAGCAAATAAAGAAAATTCTCCTGCCACTTTGGTCTGAGTCCACTTTGTATTATCTTGACCCCTTGCAGGTAGCGATTCTGGGATTGGCCATGCTTTGTCTAAGCATCTGGATGAGCTGGGCTTCACAGTATTTGCCGGAGTTCTGGATGCAAAGGGATCAGGAGCGGAGGAATTACGAAGAAGCTGCTCCAAGCGCCTGTCTGTGCTCCAGTTGGACATCACTGACCCGCAGCAGATCAAAGACGCCTACAGCAAAGTCCTGGAGAAGGTGCAGAACAGAGGTACCACCTTCAGTTACCCTTGCCCTCGATTGCTCTCCACCCCCCTTGCAAATGCCCCACTCCGGTTCCACCCTCCACCCACTGCCCTCTAACCCATTCTGGCTGCCAGCTGCACGTCAAGACTCATGTACTGAGTACCTGAGACATGCTGGGCCTCTCGTAGACAGGAAGACTTTAGCAATGAGTCATCTGTCTTCACAGAACTTACAGAATTCATCTCATTCCCTCCGACATCTGCTCAGTCACTCTCCCATTAATTACCGCCCCCGTCCCCTCCTCACATCTTTCCCCCTACCAACATGAACATGTGTTAGACTTTAAAAATATAACTTTGTAATCACTGCCCTCCCTCAGCCGCTGCCCTTTCTCTTCTGTTTCCTTCATGGCCGAGCTCTTTGGAACTCTATCACCCTCTGTTTTTAATTCTCATCAGGCCTCCCTAACAGGTCTGGCCAGGCTAATTGGTATTATCCTAAACACCAAGCTCTTAACTTCTCTGCAGTGTTTAAACATGTCGATCACCTCCTCTGCCTCGGCATTGGGGTCTTCAGCCCCCTCTTGACTTCCTAGTTCTCCAATCAATCTTTTTGCTTCTCCTGTATGAGCCTCTTCCTCTGTCCTCTGCATAAATGTGAATGTTACTGAGGGCTCCATCCCCCAAATGCCCACTCCAACTTTCCTGGGCTATATACTCTTCTCTCCCTACACCAGGAATTTTCACCAGGACGGCTACGTAATGCGGGGGGCCCAATGCAAAATGAAAATTACATGGGGTCGCTTATTTTAACAATGATTAAGACTTTGCAATGGTGCCAGCAGAGAATTAAACCAAGCATGAGACCCTTCAGAAGCACCGGGTCCCGTGTGACTGCACAGGTTGCACACCCATGATACCCACTCATCCTGGGCACCACTCCCCCAACCAATTAAATCAGTATCTACATATAGTAACTCAGCTAATCCTTCAACAAGGAGGCTGATGCTGTTGCTCTCTTTTTACTGGGAGTGTCATCTGTAAGGAAGATCCTTCTTGAGGGTCCCAGATAGCAGTATATTTTAAAGCTCCCCAGGGGATGCCAGTGCTATGCCAGAGTTGAGAAACACTGAGATTTAAGCCAGTAACTTCCAAATCTGTATCACCAACCTAGCCCTCTTCTCAACATCCAGACCTGTATGTATATAGAATTGTCTGCCAGACATCCCACCTCAATGTCAAAAACTGACCTCATTATCATTTCCCCTGCTGCCAGGCTGCAAATCAGTTTTCCCTCCTGCATCCATGGCTCAGACACTGGCACTGCTTCCTAACCAGTTATTCAAGTCAGCAACCTGGGGGTCACTTAGACCCCTACCTTGCCCTTGATCCCTGCACCCTATTGGTCCTGAGTCCTGTCACTTCTACCTTAGACAGTTATCATCCCAGCCCCTGCCTACCATCTCCAGGCAGCTGTGGCCACATCTCTTACCTGGGCTACCGCGATGGCCTCCTTGCAACCTGGGTTTCCTTCCCCATTGCTTTCCAAGGGGAGAGTAATGTTTTCAACGTGCACGTCTCACAATGTCATCTGACTCCTAAAAACTCTTTGATATACAGAGCCCCCACGTCTTGGCTTCCTCCCATGAGCCGGGCTTATGGTAGGTATTTTGCTTTGTTTCATTGAATGGCTCAGTGGCTCTCTACCTGCCACCAAATAAAATCCAAATGCCTTAACAAGGATTAGAAGGCCTTTCAAGATAATGGCCCCTGCCACGCCCTTGGTCTGCAATACCTGCAGGTCCACTCAGTAAAATCTGAATGGTTTCCATAATAGAAGGTGTTGGTTCACATCTTTGCACATCCAGCTTCCTCTTACCAAAATTTCCCTCTTGGCTCCACTCCTTTTCTCTAAGACTCTTGCCTTTGTCCACCTGTGGACTCTACTCCCATAGGAGACCTGGCTCAAATATAGCATCTCTTGTATGATCAACCTGATAATCCAGGTGGCATTATTCACTTCCTCTTCCGGAACTCCCTCATTACACCTTGCACACGCCCATATTACTGCATTATTTTAAGTATCTGTCCATCTCCCACTCCTCACCACTAAGTTCCTTGAGAACAAAAACCATGTTTCCATCATCATTCTTTCAGGTGCAAGTGACACAACCCAATTCAAAATTGCTAAAGCATAAAAGAAATGTATTTACTTATATAATTGAAAAGACTGGTTAGCTTTAGGCATGTCTAAATCCAGGCACTCAAGCAATGTCGTTAGGACCCAGTCTTTATTTATGTATTTTTTTTTGGTGAGGAAGATTGGCCCTGAGCTAACATCTGTTGCCCATCTTCCTTTATTTTGTATGTGGGTTGTCACCACAGCATGACTTGATGAATGGGGTATAGGTCCACGCCCAGGAGCCAAACCCACATACCCTGGGGGGCTGAAGTGGAGCATGCGAACTTAACCACCACACCACCTGCTGGCCCTTGGAGGCCTCAGGCACTTCCTGCTTACATCCTCTTTAAAGCTGACACTCCCAGCAAAAACAGAGTAATGCTACCTGCTCCATTTGGTAGTTAAACAGTAGTTATACAGAGAACACCTCGAAGAACCCCTGGCATGAGGCAAGTGTTCAGTACAGACTCCTATTTTCCATTCATTCAACGTTAAGCACAGTCCCCGGCATATAGTAAATCCTTAATAAACATCTGATAAATAGGATGAGGGAAACATAGATGGTTGGTTATTGGGAATTAATTTTTAGCAAGTTTAGCAATGTGTGGTCATTTTCTAGAATGACAGTTTTCGTGGGCTGATCTTTTGCTATCTGATAGGGTTGAGCTTGTCCCTCTTATAAGCTTGACTTTACCATGTCTTATTCAAGGAGATATTCAATACAGACCCCTGTAGTGAGGCCTGGAGGGGCACTATCGACTATATTGAAGGGTAAAGCAGTGGGTTCTAGATATGGAAATACCACACTAATGTCTAGGGAGAAAGGAGGGTGTCAAGGGCAGTTTCCAGGGTGTCAGTCCCTGCTGTTTTGGGGCCCTGCCTTCTGGAGAGAAGTCCTCTTCTGGGACAGGATTTCTAATACCCCTTCTGCCTGCTCTCCTCACAGTCTCTTTCAACTTCAGCCTCTCAAGTCAGAGAGAATGTGGAGCTGTGGGACAGGGCAGTTTGAAGTCACCAGGAAGGATGTTTGCTAAAGAATCGTCTAGGACCAGTAGAGAAACCAGAAAACCTCAGCTCCTGTCAGAAGGCCAGCAACTGTGCTGTGTTCCCACACAGCATATTATTAAATTAGTATTAATGTATTAATTAATGTTAATTATTTAAAAACTATTAAGGCCTATAGGTATAACGTGCTATTGGTCAGCTTGGAATTCTGTGACAGGAGTTGGCAAATTCTGGCTTTCCCTGTTTTTTTTTTTAAACATTTTATTTTGAAATAATTGTAGATTCACAGGAAGTTGCAAAAGAATGTAGAGAGATCCTGTGCACTCTTCGCCAAGCTTTCCTCAATGGCAGCATCTTGCAGAACTGTGGTACAAGATCGAAACCAGGAAAGTGGCATTAGTATAATCCACAGGCTTTATTTAGGTTCCATTAGCTATACTTGCATACGTGTGTGTGTGTGTTGCTCTGCAATTTTCTGACAAGTGTAGCTTTGTGCAAAAATCACCACAATCAAGATACAGAACTGTTCCATCACCACCAGGCTCTCTCATGCTGTCTTTTTAGAGCCATAGTCTCAGCCCATGACAATCACTATTCTGTTCTCTCTCTCTTTAACTTTGTCATTTAAAGAATATTAGGTAGATCTGCCACCTATTTTTGTACAGCCTGTGAGCTAAGGATGGTTTTTACAGTTTTAAATGGTTAAAAGAAATCAGAAGACTATTTTTTGACATATGAAAATTATGTGAAATTCAAATGTCGGTGTCCATAAATCAAGTTTTATTGGAGCACAGCCACTCCCACTGATTTACAGATAGTCTGTGGCTGTTCTCACACTATAATGATAGAGTTGAGACAGTACGACCTGCAATGCTAGGAAATTTACTCTCTGGCCTTTTATAGAAAACGTGTGCCGGCCCCTGTTCTAGGGCATTCTCAAGCTGCCATCTCCATGTTCACTGGTCAAGGTGTGCATCAGGCTGAGTGAATTATAACCATCATTTGAAGGTGCTAGTGGAGGCATCTTCTCCAGCCATCACCATCCTCATAATAGCTGTTGAGTTCTTACTGCATGCCAGGCATCATCTCATTTAAGGCTCGCAATCATTATTGTGTGTAAATGTCGGACCACCAACTCAGGTATGCAAGAAATGTAGCTTTATTTTCTGTAACTCAACTCAATTTCTATTTTGAGCCATCTTTCTGTCCTATGGCAAAAACCATGTCAGTCATTTTGAGCTTCACTTCATTTCCCCGGGGTAGCATCTAAATTCCTGGGGATGGGACGTTTTTGCCTTCGATCATCAATGCTTCGTGCTGCCCCTGCTGAGATGTCCGATGCTCTGTGGGGTCCTTGTGCAGGTTGGCTGCTGCCTACCTCCTTGATGCCATCAGAAAGACGTTGTTAGGGCTGATGCCTCCTGCCATTTCCCTGCCTCTGCTAGCACTGAGACTCATTCTGTTCCTGGACATACTACAGGTTCTCACACCTGAGGGTGCCTCAGGATCTCCCGGAGGGCACGTTCTATCACAGATGCTGAGCTTCAGTAACAATTTCTGATCACAGTTTCTGGCCCAGCAGGTCTGAGGTGGGGTTCCAGAATTTGCATTTCTAACAAGTTCCCAGTTGACGCTGATGCTGCTGTTTCTGGACCACACCTTGAGAATCACTGTCCTAAATCATGCTGAGGCTTGGGGAACTCAGAGAATCTGTTTCCGGTCTGTCTAGCTAAACACACTTTAGATCCTGTCACCTCTGTTTCTCCCAGGTAAAGAGGACCCAGGTTACTAACCTCTGCTCCAGATCCTCCTCCCCCAAAACATCTGGAGGTTTTGTAGTACCTCTTTCCTCCCATTTAGGGTACTGGTTCCCAAGCTTGGTTGTACATTGAATCACCCGGGGAATGTTAAAAACCACTAATGCCAAGGTCCCCTCTCTCCCCTACCCTCAGTTTCTGGTTTAATTGGCTGGAATGTGGCCTGGGCATTGGGGCTTTTAAAGAGCCCCCCAGGTGATCGTAATGTGCAGTCCAGGCTGAATACCACCACGTGTGGACTGTGGTTCTCCAAGAGTGATCCAGACCTGCAGCCTCAGCATCTCCTGGGAACTTGTTAGAAATGCAGATTCTCAGGTCCCACCCCAGGCCACGCCCCCCCACCCCCGCAAACAGATTCTCTGCAGGTAGGGCCCACCCACCTGTGTTAGAACAAGCCCTCCTGGTGATTCAGTCAAGAGGGTCAGGCTAAGTGGGGAAGAAAATAGGGCTCAGGGACTCTGCAGTTTCCTTAGCTCTTGGCACTGCTGCCCTTGTCTTCCTGTTTCCCTGGACTAGGGAAACTTTTCTAGTCTAGGGAAAAGGGAAGACAGGCTCCTATATCATCCTGCGTTGTCCTAAAGATGTTATACTGTCTCTACAGAAACATGAGGTAGATTCTTATTACCTCCCCTTGCTGTCATACCTCCCCAGATAGAGCAAATACCTAGCTTCTTGGATATAGGAGACGGCTTTGAGGCAAAAGAAAACACCTCCAAAAAACCATTGCTTAATATTTCACACATTTACTCTCCACACAACTCCCCAAGGTGGTTGGTTTTAGGTTATTCAAGGAGACTGAGGTGCGAGAGTTTACGTGATCAGTCTAGATCTTAAATCTCCAAGGAGCCCTTCTGACTCCAGAGCTTGCAGTGTTAAAAATCCTCCTGCTCTCCACTCTCGCCTATCCTCAAGGCTGTTCCTTTCTGTTCTCAGGACTGTGGGCTGTGGTCAACAATGCTGGGATCATTTGCTTCCCAGCCGAGGGGGAGCTCATCCCCATGACCCACTACAAACGATGCATGGCTGTGAACTTCTTTGGGGCAGTGGAAGTCACGAAGGCATTTTTGCCTCTTCTTAGGAGATCCAAAGGGAGGCTGGTGAGCATCAGCAGCATGGCAGGTGAGTTAACTTTTCTCCAAGAGGCCGTGCAGTGCCCATCGTGCAAGACATGGCTCGCTGCGTTCTTTGTGGGATGAACAAGAAAGCAGGACACGCTCATGCAGCGCTGGGTCAGGATTAGTCACATTGTATGTTTACTTTTGATCTTAACACAATCAAACCTTTCTCTCCTTTCAAATCCTTTCAGGTACAAACTCTTACCTACTTTCTAAAGCATGTGTTCATTACTGGGGATTTGGGGATTCATACCTTCACAATGTGACTGCCAACGCACAAGCTTCCCAGATTTGGACGGGAAATCCCACATACAGTTAATGTCAACATTGCAAGTAACCTGTTTTCAGTTTTCCCTAAGTTCAGCACACTGTGTTTTTCTCTGCAAGATGAGTAGGCACATATCTTCACTCTGTTGGAACTGTCAGAGTCTCATGTCTTGGTTGGCTGCCTACTAGTGTTTTCCACACAATCCTTCGCATCGTTTTGCAATCTCAAGGATATTGGGTCAGGGTGTGACATTTGATGACTCATCTCTCTCCATTTCAAAGAAGAGAGAGTCAACAAATTGAGTCAAGGGTTTAACAATCTCCCTTCCTGTAAACAATGCCCACCTATGTGATATCACACCCTTTCTTCTAGGACAGACATTTTCAAATTGGGGCTCCTCAGAGCTTTACTCAGCTTTGGGTAGCGTCCATTGGGTTGTCTTTTGGGACACTGCATGGGTGAGAGGGAAGCCAAAGGGGTGGGCTCTGGCCTCCAAGATCCTGCCTTTAAATAGAGGAATATAACTCTTCACTGTTTGACAATTGGTTCCAGGTAACACTTTTTTTTTTTTTAAATAAAGGGTCCAACCACTTATTTTTGTTGTTGTTGTTTGTTTCTTTGTTTTTTGGGGAGAGGTTCTTTGTATTTCCTAGACAATTATTTTCGTCCATCATATTCCCTTTCCCGGCCTTGACTCAGTGACTTCCTTGAATTTAACTGCTATGTGAGTGTGTCATTAGAGTCGTTGATTGGCTGAGGAAGAAGAAAGAAGGAGGGAAAAAAGGGAGGAAGGAGGAGGAGATGGGAAGAGAGAAGTCTAAGGTGATTAAGAGCAATGAGTATTATATTTTAACTTATATGGTATCCTGAAGTATTTCCAATTTCTTGCTACCTTGCTGAAGCAAACAAATTCTGAGAAAACGCATTTGCAATATTTCACCCTTATCTTTCTTCTGAGAGTAGCCTTTCCATATTTTCCCTCTGTGGAAGCCTCACCTTTCTCAGTTCCCTGGCAGAGTCTGGTACTTCTGGAAAAGCCTCACATGCTCCTTGCCTCACTCATTCAACAAATATTTACTGAAATGACTGACTGCTGTCTTCTCCTTGACACGCTGACAAGGAGTTTTTTCTCTTTTCTTTCTTTGTTCTCAACTTTGAGTAGCTCATTCATTTATACGGTTTTACTTTCCTTATCACTAATATGCCTACTATCCGCTGTAGGCCCAGTGTCTGGCATGTATTAGAAGCTCAATTAATAAATGAAGAAATGCAAATGTGCAAATGGCTGAAAAATGGATGAATGAATGGGTAAGCGAAGAATTGACAATACAGAGGATGCCCATTCATACTTCTTCATCTTGGCCTCTACAGCTTTTTCCAAGCCAAGATTTTGTACTCTCTTGTCATGTATTTCCACTGGGGGGAAACCGTGAGTGTTAAAATAAATCACACATCTCACTCCTATTCCCACCCCTGGATGTGCAAATTCTTCACATCCAGCCTTACTATTTCCATTTCATTATCTTACCATCATCAGTAAGTCAACACATCTGAAACCAAACTTATTATCAGCAACTCAAAGCTTGCTCTCCTGACTTCTTTCTCTTCTTGTCCTGGTCCTTTGAGTTTCAGAGCTTTGAGCTTTCTTAGGTTTGTTTCTCTCTGTGCCTGGCTCTCCTTTCTCCCACCTTGTCAGTCACCTAGACATGGGGAGTCTTCCTTCATCACATGCAGCTTGGAATCCTTATGTCCCAGAGAAACTCTAGAAACAAGTTCATTTATAGGATTCAGAAACACCCAAGGTATTTTATGAAGTTGTTAAAGCAGTAGCCAGAAATCAGAACAGATGGGAAGCACATGCACTTGACAGGGCAAGTGTTTGTAAGAAGACAGGAACAAAACTCTTATATGATGCTTATAGTTTCCCTCATTGATGAGGAGTAGAGGAATTCAGCAGAAAACAAAATGAGGAAATCTCTAACACTTGCTGATGAGAGTTTGGCAAAACATTGGAAAAGATTTTGAGCAGAGGATAAGAAGCTAGACTGTAATACAAGGATCAGAAAAGTCAACGCATGTGTAAAAGACAATACATAATCAATCAATCCACAGAAATTAACATCCAACATGATGCCAACTTGATGATGTGTCTCTTGGCAAAGTTAACATAATAACAGTTTTGGAAAACGTGCTTATCTGGGAGTTCATCTCTGGTATTTTTTTCATTTTGAAGCAGGGGGCATGGAGAGAGAGACAAGGCAGTTAGTCACTAAGAAGTGTTCTCCAAAAGGAGCTCGTGGTTGCCTTGACCCATCAAGTTGTCTTGAGCCAGACACCTCTGCCACCCTCTGCATGACAAGAATTTCAGTGGTGTTGATTTATCATGGAAGTTTGCATCAGCCAGCAGAAGCTGAGCTGGAATCAATAACTCTGTTTCAGTTCTCCATTGCTGCAGAGCAAATATCCCCAGAGAAAGTGTCTCAGCGTGCTGTGAGTAGGCAGCTGGTCTGGCAGACAGAATAGTGGTCCCCCAAATACATGCATGTTCTAACCCCTGGACCCTGAAATATGTGACCTTACCTGACAAAAGGGACTCTGCAGATGTGATCGAGTCAAGGATCTTGAGATGCAGAGATTATCCTGGACTATCTAGGTGGTCTGAGGCGATTACACACGTCTTTACAAGAGGGAGGCAGGAGGGTCAGAGTCAAAGAAAGACTGGAAGATAGAGGAAGGGGCCATGAACCAAGGAATGCAGGTGGCTTCTAGAAGCTGGAAAAGTCAGGGAAACTGATTCTGCCTTAGAGATTCCAGAAGGAATACAGCCCTGCTGATACCATGATTTTAGCCCAGCTAGAGCTCTGACCTTCAAAACTATAAGATAATAAATTTATATTGTTTAAGCCACATGGTGGTGGTAAATTGTCATAGCAGCAATAGAAAAGTAATACACCTGGGTTGACCTGAATATTGGGTCAAATGCCTCTGGGCCCATCTCAGTTTCTTTAAAGGTCAATGGATGATGTATCTACCCTTCTTTCCTGCCTCCTTCCCACCCTCCCCACCCCCCCCCAAAAAAAACCCAACTTTGGGGGCTGGCCTCCCCTTCTAATACCCAATCTTGGCTCTCTATATCAAGGCTCACTCTGCCCCAGGCCTTGGTCCAAGCACTCCTGGAGGACATCTTTTGGTAGTTTTAGCTACCAGACAGATATTCTTCTTAGTGAGACATCAATTCTGTTTTATTTTTTTTTTAATTTCAACTATATTTGGCCAATGTGTTCAATTCCAGTATTATGGTAGAAATGCCTGAGAAACTGTCGACATTTGATTCAGCTCGAGCAACACGGCACCAATTCCTGCTGCAGTGATGAGTGCATGTTTTTCAATCCCGATTGGGCTCTTTCTATGGGTCAAACATAATTATCTCTGATTAACAACTTATCACATGTGCCTAATTTCCTAGTTCAAACATTTTCCTTTTCTGCAAACTCTAACACCCATTCCTTCCACCCTTACGCTTTTATGCTTCCCTTATGCTTCCACCCTATGTGCACAGCCTTTTCTCCTCATCCTTCATACCATGTTGAATCAACACTTAGCACTTGACTACACGCCCGAAAAGCAAAGCCGACTTCAGAAAGCACAGATTTTATTAAGGACTTTGTGCAAAGATAGAAGAGAGGGTTATATCCCCAAAGACCCAATTTAATGAAAATCCCTTCTAGATGCTTCTTTTCTCCTTCCAAAAGTCTTCAGTTGCCAGCTACCTCTCCTCTGGGCAGCTGCCACTCCTTCTTCCCCTCCTAACTGGCTCCAAAATCTTTCCTCATTCATCTTTTTAAGGTTCATCCATGTTGTGGCATGTATCAGAACTCCATTCCTTTTTAAAGCTGAGTCAAATTCCACTGTATGGATATACCACGTTGTTTATCCATTCATCAGTGGATGGACATTGGGTTGTTTCCACTTTTTGGCTATTATGAATAATACTGCTATGAACATTCACGTACAAGTTTTTGTGTGCACACTGTAAATTCTATGTAAGAGTTAGCTATAACTATCACTTCCTGTGTCCTTGGGTAAGTCATGTAAGCTCTCTGCACTTTGGTTTTTTCGTCTTCTAAAATAGAGTTGATGAAGATAATAATAGAACCTACATCCCAGGACAGTTGTGACCACTAAGTACATTTAGAGCTGATGTTCAAATACTCAGAGCAGTGCTTGGAATATCGTAGACATCTAATAAGTATTAGCAATTATTATGAAGCATCCCCTATGCTTCAGGCATTTGTTGGATGCTATCAGATATATGATCCCGATAATCCTGCAGAGTAAGTATTAGTATTCTCATTTTGTAGTCTTGAAAACCAAGGTTCAGAAGAGTTATATGACTGGTCCTTCAGTTAGAACCGGAATTTAAACTTTTGTTCCATGTTCTGACTAACCAAGCTACTGCCTCCACCACTGATTCAGCTGGATGGTGTGTTACCTCCATGTCAACCACAAGCCAAGAGCCTCAGGGGCTCTTCCCAAAGGTATCACCTCCGCCATTTTCCTCTTCCTACTAGCCCCACTGCCAGCTGCTTGCTTCGGCCTCACCTCTGTTCCCAGGGAATAGGGTCAATATAATCCACATCTAAATCCACTGCTATGGATGGGAAGTTCCAGGATTGGGGCACAGGAGAAACACCGCTTCCTTAAATTCTTCTCTAGGAGATGCACGAAGAGTCAAC